CTGCCCAGGCGACACCGCTGCCGGGGCTGTTGCAGGATGAGCCCACGACAGGGATGGACCCGCGAGCCCGGCGGTTTCTGTGGGACTGCATCCTCAGCGTCATCCGGGAGGGCAGGTCCGTGGTGCTCACGTCCCACAGGTGAGCCCCCCCTCCTCCCAGGGTCTGCGGCACTGCTGGAGGGGAGCACCCCTCTGCCCCCGGGGCACCCTTGGAGGGGAGCACCCCTCTGCCCCCGCGGGGCCTCACACCTCCCCCCCGGCAGCATGGAGGAGTGCGAGGCGCTGTGCACCAGGATGGCCATCATGGTCAACGGCCGGTTCCGCTGCCTGGGCAGCGTGCAGCACCTCAAGAACAGGTAATGGGACTGGGGGCTCAGGGAGGGCTCCGGCAGCGAGGGGCGACCGCCCCGTGGGGATGGGGACACGGCTGGTCCCTGCAGCGATGCCCCCCTCTCCCGTGCAGGTTTGGGGACGGCTACACGGTGGTGGTGCGGGTGGGTGGCTCCGGGCCGGCGCCGGTGGAGAGCCTGATGCAGTGCCGCTTCCCCGGCATCGTGCTGAAGGAGCAGCATGGGGGGCTGCTGCAGTACCAGCTGCCCTCCCGCGCCAGCTCCCTGGCCAGCATCTTCAGTGTCCTGGCAGCCCACCGTGGCCCCTGCCACATTGAGGACTACTCCGTGTCCCAGACTACCCTCGACCAGGTGACGGAGGACGTGGGGCGCGGGGGCTGGGGTCCTGCCGGCGCTGCCCCTCACCCTGCCCTCCCCGCAGGTCTTCGTGCACTTTGCCAGGGAGCAGAGCGATGAGGACCCTGGGGGGGCCACGGCGCCAAGGCAGGATGCGGCCCCAGGGCAGGATGCGGCCCCGGCAGTGCCCAGCCCCAGGAGGAGGCTGAAACCATTCCTGGACGATGACAGCTACCAGGAGAGCGCTGTCTGAGCAGGGCCACGGTGCCCCACGAACCCCCTCCCCAGCCGTCACCGCAGCACGACCTGGGGTCCTGGAGCTTCTGGCCACCCTGGACCCCCAGAGCTGCATGGGGGGGCCTGGCTGCATACCTCCTGCTGGCACGGGGCCACCATCCGTGCGGGATGGTCCAGGCACTGGGGAGGGTCAGAGTGCCAGGGCAGGGCTGGCCCCAGCTCCCCCTTGGTGGGGTTGTAACCTCTGGGGGGGCTGAGCTGGACAGGGGGGGTTCTGCCCTGGGCCTGGGCAGGGCCGGGTGCTGGGGCTGGCCCTGGGACCCCGACTGCTCGCTCAGAGCCTGCTGTAAAAGAGAAAAGAGACAGGACTGCCCGGAGGGGCTGGATCGCCCTCGCACGGCTGCAGCCCCACCAGGGGCGCACGGGGGCACAGGGCGGGGGGCACGGCAGGGTGGGGGGCAGCAGGGCGGCCCTCGTGCCAGAGGCATGGAGCAGCCAGCATGGCTCCCTGCCCTGCTGCCACCCTGCAACCCCTTCCCTGCAGCTCCCCGACTGGCCGAAGGTCAGCCAGAGTCTTCCTCACCCTGAATGGTCCCCAGGCAGGGGCAGGGGCTGGGTGGGCAGTGGGCTGGGCAGGGATCCCTGCCCACCACCCTCCCTGGGGCTCCTTCCTCTCTACCTTCTCCCGCTCCGGTGTGTCCCAGCGCGGGGCAGGGGTCTCACCCCCTCAGCCAGGTGTCACCTTGGGGTCTGTGCCACACGGGGACCTAAGCAGGGCTGGGCTGAGCCCCCCAGGCCGGGAGGCACAAAGGTTTTGGGGTGCCCGTCTCCTCCCTCACCTCCGGGACCCCTCTCCTCTGGCGGGGGGGGGATGGACCTTCCCCACCGGGCTGGCAGTCTGCGCCTCGGGCTCCGCCTCCGCCTGCCCCCCCTGCCCGGTACACCCCGCACCTCCACGGCCCACGTCCTCGGGGCACCCCCGGCACAAAAGAGGGTTCCCGGAGCGGCGGAGGGTTTGCGATCGTCCCAAAAAATATGGAACGCTTCACGAATTTGCGTGTCATCCTTGCGCAGGGGCCATGCTAATCTTCTCTGTATCGTTCCAATTTTAGTATATGTGCTGCCGAAGCGAGCACGAAACGCCCTGCCCCCGCGGCGGTATTTGAAACTCTTCCAAACTCTAATTCTTAAAGCA